AGTAGACGCAGGTAAAGCAGAGAGGTCAGGCACATCTCAGCTGGCTTCTTTCTTTCTACAGGGGACTTATGTCTCCTGGTAAAGAACAGTTAGTGAAGTTTTAATAAGATTCTAAATCATGCCTCAAGCAGAGAGCATTCATGTTATGAAATATCTCCATTTCGTTTTTACCACAAAAAATTGACTACTTACATGACATTTGCTGTGGACCAAGGTATCATAAATTTATAGATTGCGGGTGTGTTCACAAAAAAACAATCATAAACCAGTAATATACTATGAATAGTATTTCATAGATAAAAAATGATCTCATAGCAAATACTATTTGCCTTGAGGTCTGTTACCATGCTCACGATGATATTGAGCTGGACGCTGTGTGTTTTCTTTTTGCTTCGTAGTGCCTCCTCACTGTAGATAAATGAGTCACATGCCATCTATGTTATTTATTTTTACTCAGTTTTAATGCTGGACAAAACCTCCATAATAGCTAGAAATATATTTCTAAATAAACACTGACAGGCTGCATAAATACTCTTCAAATAGGTTTGCAATGAAAATTTAAGTTGTTGAGATTGCATGTGGATTATTTCCACAAACCTCAAAATGATACCCAATAACACATATTCTTAGCTAGAAATAGGTATGACAGAGACTATATTTTAATATTATAAAATTTAATACACTGAGAAATCAGAGAATAAGAATATATAATTCTATAAGTATATCTGAAAAATGACTAAATGCAATTAAATGTGTTATTTTGATATGCTCAATTTAAATGTTAGCTTCACAGTTCTACTATGCTTTATATACAGCACTTTATGGTCAGAAACTTTTGCTTCCTGCCGTAGTCGGTTTGGCTCAGTGGATAGAGCATCGGTCTGCATTCAATTCCAGTCAACGGCACATGCCTGGGTTGCAGGCTCAATTCCCAGTGGGGGGTGTGTGCAGGAGGCAGCCAATCAATGATTCTCTTTCATCACTGATGTTTCTATCTCTCTCTCCCTTTTCCTTCCCCTCTGAAATCAATAAAAAATATATTTTAAAGAAAGAAACTTTTCTTCCAATTATTTTTATAAAATTTCAATTGGATGGTTGGTTAAAATCATAGACATGAAAATGCAACACTATAAAATCTCTTTGATTTCAGCAGTGATATTGATAAAACATCTTATTCCCCAAATTAGATAGCACTGGAAGGTATGCTTCCTAATCACTTTTCTGGTTATTTAGTCATCCTTGGATTTATTGACCCAATCTCTACCACTCTTAAGTCTAGCTGATTTATTCAGTTCTCCAACCATTGTGCTTAAGAAACTTTGGAAATGACACTGCTTTACCTTCAGATCACAATTTTAATGTTGTTTTGCCAACATAATTGTCTTAGGACCTAGATTAGGTCAGAATTCCATTTATGTACTTTACTAGTACCTTGAACTTTCCTTATTAGGCTTTGCCACTTGTTTAATAATGTCTTTTATTTGTGTAATTACACAATACATATCACAGCTGTTACAGTGTAGGCCCCATGAAGCCTGTGGATGTATTTATTGGTTCACATTTTTATTCGTAGCATCTAATACAGACTTGCTTCCCTAAACTTGTTCAAAAAACCCTCACCAAGAAAGGCAGAAGAGGAAGGGAGGAAGGACAGAAGGAAGGAAGGAAGGAAGGAAGGAAGGAAGGAAGGAAGGAAGGAAGGAAGGAAGGAAGGAAAGAAAGGACAGTTAATGGGTCCATGTTGTTATTGCCAAAGGAGATGAGGGAGTAATTGCCCTCTGTGAAATCTGGCATTTACTAAAACTGAACTGCTAAGTAGGAGGAGAAAAAAAATGTATTTATGCATTATTCTTCATTTTATAAATTTTTACATAGGATTAACTAAGGATTGCTCAAGCACTGTTATGGGTTGAATTGTGTTCCTCTAAAGTTTATATGTTGAAGTCCTATTCCCCAGTACTTTTAAAATGTAACCATAGAGATAATGTCTTTATAGAGTTGATTACATTAAAATGAGGCCTTCAGGATGGCCTCTAATCCAATATGACTGGTTTTCTTATAAGAAGAGGAAATTTGGACACATAGAAACATACTACGGATAATGCACAGAAGAAAAGACCACATGAGGACACCGTAAAGAGGCATCCAGCTGCAAGACAATGAGACAAGCCTCAGGAGAAACAAAACCTGCCAAAGCCTCGACCTTGGACTTCTAGCCTCCGAACTTGAGAAATAAACTTCTGTTGTTTAAGCCACCCTGTCTGTGGTATTTTGCTATGGCAACTCTAGAAAACTAATATACATACCCAATCTACTTTAGTCCTTAAAGCTATAGATGTTGCAATTGTAAAATATATATGGGCCGCAAGCCAAAAAAAATGAATGCTTTAATTCATATTTAAATGAGATTTTAGAGAAGAGTTACTGAAAAACAAAACACTATTTTTTGTTCTTAAAATATTTTGCCTTTTTTCTGCTTTCTTTTGCGATTTAGACTGAATATGTTTGCACATGTTTGCATATTGAGGAAGGAGAAAAATGGTTTCGGGAAGAAGTAGTTATTGCCAAATAAAATAACTTATAAGTATGTTTTTGCATATAAAATATTATTTCATAAATACAAATAACTTCCATCATTCTCAGTGAGCAACACTGGATAAATATTCTAATGTGCATAAACAAAGAAAAAAATAGATAATTAACAGTTTGTATGTCTTCCACCACTAATTTCAAAATTGGCCAGATTATTATTTTATTAAATTTTTACTTTAGTGAGAAATCAAATCTTGCACTTTGTATATTTTGAAGTACACATGTATATACTATTAGAAAATGAGAAGACAATTTTGATATCTCTGATTTTCTTACAAAACTTGAAAACCAAGTGTCCTAGAGTCATACCACTAGTATGAGCTTAACTAAGGGCTTAAAATAATAGAGAAATGTTATTTTAAATTACAGTTCATTTCTAAGTACCTCTTTTCACAAAATGAACTTTAAAATGACAATATCAATGCTTTAATTTTCATTTTAAGACCTGTGACAACTTTTAAGATAACTTTAAGTAGCTCTATCATGCAAAGTTGTCAGAGAAATATAGCAAAGAAAATCAAATAGTGGTTCAGAGAACTTATTAGACTTTTCTGGGACACATAAATGTTAAAGAAATCAGATCTGCCAGAGGAACACATCACACTTTAAAATACATTCTATTTAAGGAAGCCAACCTATATAACAATTTTACTTTTTTCTTTCTTTTTATTTTTTTTACTAATTTCTCACAAAGCCCTAGCATCTCAATACACTCTGAGACAAGATTTATTAGCACAGAATTTTAGTTGTCTAAACCACAAAATTCTATTTCATAGAAAACTGGAGGCTATTCATTAGCCTATTGTGAAGCACTTCATAAATAATTTAAACTATAGTTGTCAAAATAAAAGAAAAAATCATTTATGCTGCACTTTCCTTATCTTATTATTGTTCATGTATTTGCTTGCTTATTCATCTACAAAATCCACTAAATCACAGTCCCTGTCATTTTTGTGAATTATTCTGCATCATTTCAACTTGACTGATTATGTTGAAAGAATACAATCAGGTATCTCAGACTATCATTTATATGTTATTTAAAAAATGCATACAAATACATTTTAAAATGATAATCAAAAAACTCCAAGAAATACTGAAGAACAAATGTTTAAACAGATTAGTAAAAATGTTTTCCTATCATTCAGAAAAATCTAGAAAACAAATTCAGGACAATAAATGAAGATGAGAACATCAAATTGACTTGAAATATCTAACAGGAAAAAAAAAGTAATGCTCTCTATTTTTACTGTTGAGAAATAGCAAGTAGCAGAGATAATCTAGACTCCAAAATACAAATTAGATGTTGTTTTCTTTAAAGTTTTTTAGCTTAGTGCTTAAAGTTGAGAACCAATAAAAAGGTCTGGAATTCATTTTTAGTTCTGTAACTAAAAATGTGGTCTTGAGTTAATTATTTTAACTTGTCCTTTAAAGAAAAGTTAGTCCCTATCTTTTATTTCTTGACATCTTTTATCACTTGGGAGCCTTTGATGTTAAATTCAATCTTGGCATCCATTTTAAGACCGATCTCAGTGCTTTTAGTCAATTTGAATCTTATCAGTATATCACTTACTGACTGAGGGACTTTGGTTTTAAGGATCCTCTGCTATGAAATTTGTCCCTAAATGTGGTAAGTGAGAAATTTGCATGACTGCCTTCCAGCAAGAACTCTATGCTTGAACACATTTTAGTCTACTTTATTCTTATGAAAAATATCATAATCTCATGAATAAGACATTATTTGGGCTCTACAGCTCTCTGTGTGAAGTTAGCACCCTTATTAAGCATAATAGTTGTTCATTTTCTTTTTTGCTTTATACAGATTCATAAAGTAAAATTTTCAGGTTCTGAAAATTATCTCAGTGCTAGTTAAGATTTGAACTGCTGCCAATAGACAATTTTCTACTTTGTAAATAATCCACAGAAGCATATTTGCAAATTTTTAGAAAGCCAATTCAGACTGGTTAAAGATGCATTTTGGTGAATAAATATGACAAAAATATAATTATATGTAATAAGTATAACAAAATTTAATACAAGCTTATTGGAATACAGGTATTTAAGCTGCTGGTTTATTGTGCTAGAGAAATAACTGAAATGGAAAGCATATAAAATCTGAAAAATTAACTGGGCAGTTTCTGGTTCTGTGTGTAAGAGGCTTAGAAGCTGCCACTTCATCCTAACAAAAAGTAAAAAGCTAAACAGACTAAAAATCAACAACTCTTCTTGAATCCATAGAGAGGTGAGGATATAAGACAAACCAGTGTCGCAAAGATTAGAGAGAGAGAGAGACCGACAACCATAGGAGTCACTGCTTATCTAGCAGAAACTCATGAGCAGAACCACCATAGGAAGCAGCACTGGAGAAGGACAAGATGAAATGTGATTGAAGAATTGGCAGAGGTTAGCCACCCGCCACTGCACCTGACCACTTCTCTGATGGCTGGTGCAATGCAGTGGTGGGCTGAAACTAAGGCCCAGTTTAAAAAACACATTGTTATTCTTCATATGGATGACTGTGCTGAACGCATGGGCACAACCAGGAAATGACTGAGGGAGGACGTTATGTGGTCTGCTCTGGCTTTGGGTTGTGACAAAACTTTTGCTGTGTTGTGTGTGTTTTTCTGCAGTTAATCACAGTAGAAATAGCACTTTTTATGAGACTGTCAGCTTTGCCTGACAGATGTGGCACCGATCGATCTTTAGCTAGAGAGTTCTCTGGAACCATTAAAGGGATCCTGGGGACTGCCCAGGCCGTGGGCTGCAATGTTGATGGCCACCATCCTCATGACATCATAGATGATATCATCAGTGGTGCAGTGGAATGTCTGGCTAGTTAAGAACTGCAAAGGAACATGTTTCAATTAAAGATTATTTGACAACCAAAAAAAAAAAAAGAATTGGTGAAGATTCAGTATGGACAGTTCTAAGAGTTACCAGTCATAGAGAGATCCCTACACTTTTTTTTTTTACCTCCAGGGCCCCCAGATTATCATCTATAATAATAAAAGGGTAATATGCTAATTAGACCGAACATCTTCCTGACGTCATTCCAGACGTCTTTCCTGATGAAGCCAGGGCCAGAGGGAAGCAGCCTGGGTCCCAGGTGCTGGAGGGAAGCTGGTGCCAGCAACCGGGGGAAGGAAGGCCTACTCTTGCACGAATTTTCATGCATCAGGCCTCTAGTAGTAAATATAAAAGAAAAATACCTTCATCTTTCTGGCAGGGGAAGAGGAAAAAAAACATTTTTAAATATACTAGAATACTCTGTTTTTCTTTACAAGGCCTAGTTGACATGATTTTAATTAACCTGGGGAGGGAAATAGCAAACTCCAGGGCACTCTAGCCATCGTCCCGCCTGAGAAGGGAGAAACAAACAGAAACACTTGTAAAGTTTACAAATTCCCACTAAAATACTGAGTCAACCTAAGCATAGGATTCTAGAACATTTCCTTTCCCCTCATACACACCCCTCACCACCACATTGCTAAAGACCAATTTATAGCAATTCCTTATACCTGATACATTATGTGCACCTTTCAAGGAAACAATTACAGTGCTTATCAAAAGGCATAAAACACAATATGAAAAGAAGCACCAGAACCAAATATGACAAACATGTTTAAATTATCAGACCAAAAATTTAAAACAACAATGATTAATATGCTAAGGGCTCTAATAGAAAGAGCAGACAGCATGCAAGAGCAGGTAGCAATATAAGAGGTGGAAATCCTAAAAGTGTGAAAAAGAAATGCTATAGATAAAAAAAAAGAAAGAAAAGAAGAACACTCATTCACACACACACACACACACACACACACACACACAAATAACATACACTGTAACACAAATGAGTAATGCCTTTGATGGGCCTATTCATAGACTGGACATAGCTGAAAAAAATGTCTGAGCCTGAGGATATGCCAATAAAAACCTCCAAAATTAAAAAGCAAAGAGAATAGACTAAAAACAAAAATAGAGCCCTAGCCGGTTTGGCTCAGTGGATAGAGTGTCGGCCTTCGGACTGAAAGGTCCAGGTTCAATTCCGGTCAAGGGCATGTACCTTGGTTGTGTGTACATCCCCAGTGGGAGGTGTGCAGGAGGCAGCTGATCAATGTTTCTCTCTGATGTTTCTAATTTTCTATCCCTCTCCCTTCCTCTCTGTAAAAAAATCAATAAAATATATTAAAAACAAAATAGAATGTTCAAAAACTATGGGAACACTATAAAAGACATATGTAATGGTAATACCAGAAGAAAAAAGAAGAGCAAAAAAACCCAAAACAACAAAACAAAACATATTTGAAACAATAATGACTGAGAATTTTCCCCACATTAAATGTCAGACATCAAACCACACATCCAGGAAGGTCAGAGAATACCAGTCAGGATAAATGCCCTACAAGCAAACACCCCTCCACCCTCTCAAATCCCGTACCTATGCATATCATTATCAAACTACAGAAAATCAAACATAAAGAAAATGTTCTGGAAGAAATCAGAGGGGAGGAAATTGAAAACACTTTACCAATAGATGAAGAAAGAATTATATCTGATTCTCTTCAGAAAACATGCAAGCAAGTAGAGAGGGGAGTGAAACATTTAAAGTGTGGTCAGAAAAAATCAATCTAGAATTCTGTTTCATGAAAAATTATCCTTCAGAATTGAAAGAAATAAAGACTTTTTCAAATAAACAAAAATTGAGGGAATTGGTTGTCAGTAGTTCTGCCTTACAAGAAATGTAGTGGGAGAAGTTCTTTTGGGAGAAGAAAAATATGTGAGAAACTTATATCTACATAAAGCAACACAAACAAAAGGGAAAAAATGATATTCCAGTTTCCACCTTAAAAAAACAAAAATAATATAAGAAGATTGTTGTTTTAAATAATAAAAAATGAGACATTTTTAGGTAGTTCAAGCATTTGGATACAATAAATATTCAGTGAATTGTATATGTGGCAAGTCAATTAATCAATGATGTGTTATATATACTAGAGGCCCAGTGCACAAATTCACGTGAGGTCCCTCCGGGTGGCCTGTGGGGATTGGGCCGAAATCCTCAGTCCAATGATGCCCGCATCTCCTACCTGCTGCTCCAGCTCATCCCTGCCCGACTGAACCTGCCATGGCTCCCGCCCAATTAGCCCTGATTGGGAGAGGCTTGCACTGCCACAGAAGCACTTGCCAGCCATGAGCCCTGCATCTGGTGCCCTCTCAAGGGGAGTGGCCTGCGGGATCGGGCCGAAACTGGCTCTCTGACATCCCCCGAGGGGTTCCGGATTGCGAGAGGGCAGGCCAAAGACCCCACTGGAGCACGTTCAGGGCCAAGGAGGGACTGCGGGAGGGCTCCAGGGCATGTCCGGCCCCATCTCACCCAGTCCCAATTGGGGCCAATCAGGGCCAGCCGGCCAGGGAGGGACATGAGATGTTGGCCAGCCAGGGAGGGACCGTGGGAGGGATCCAGGGCATGTCTGACCCATATCACTCAGTCCCGATCAGCCAGACCACAGCAGCAAGCTAACCTACTGGTTGGAGCATCTGCCCCCTGAGACTCAGTGCACGTCATAGTGAGTGGTTGAGCGGCCTTATCATATCATTAGCATATTACGCTTTGATTGGTTGAACAGTCGACCAGTCACCAGACGACTGGACACTTAGCATATTAGGCTTTTATTACATAGGATTATATCTAACTTTATAAAAATCTTTGCTTTATATGTGTATCTGATATATAAATGCAAATACCTTACATATGATGCATATATAAGCATATATGATATATATGTGACATATGTGCACATATAATAAAAAAGTTTTTAAAGATTTATTGATATAGCCAAATAGTATTATCTATAAAGCCAAAATTATAATGAGAAGAACATATAATTTCATGAAGTATGGTAAATTATACAACAGATTGTGCTAAGCTTCAAAAATTATTGTTGTGAAGAATCTATAACATCATAAAACTATATACATACATATATAGATAAATGATAAAATAATTGGCTGGAAATGCAATAAAATGATTATGTATGTATAGTAACTATTTACATGTCATTTTCTGATTTTCAGACAATAAAACTGCATTATTTATGATTGAAGAAAATAAACTGTTTTAAATGCTACATTCAGCAATTGTAATTATTACAAAAGTAATTTAACTTTAGCCAATATGAAAGTGATCAAAAAGTGCAGCCTGGCAATATAACATAAATTATTGCGAAATGTATGTCAAGGTATTACTTTTCTAGTATACTAAACATCCAGTGTGTTTATTTTTGCACTAGGAATATACTTAGAAGAAATGTTAGTGAGCAAATTATTATATCTATAATTCCATATAAATTAATACATATTTATTAACTATTATAATTAGAAACCCTATTATGAAATAGCCCCACAAAACAATAAAGTCTATACAACTCACTTCTTGTAATACCAAGAAAATCATGTCACAAATGCATGTGGGAAGCGTACAAATTTAATCTGAGTTTCTACAATTTGTTTATTCAATTAACCTTCATTATGTTTTACACACTTACCTAATCATTGGGTTTACAGTGATGGAAAAGAGATCTAGAATGCCTACTCTCAAGCAGCTAAATTTATAGAGGGATGCAATAAATAAATTTACTTCATATATTCTACATAGCAAAAAATGCCATCCTATATAATTAAAGCCTAGTATGCAAATTGTCCCCTCAACTGGGAGTTCGAACAGGAGTTCAATTGCTCGCTATGACTTGTGCTGACCACCAGGGGGTGGTGCAGAACAGGGCAGGCATCAGCGATGCGGTGCTGGCAATGGGTGGCAGTAGAGGCGCTGTCAGGCCCGATGGGCCACAATGAGAGTGGGACCATGGTAGGATGGTAGAGCAGGTGAGTGGGTGGTGCCAGGCCAAAGCAGGTGCGAACAGAGGACCAATAGCCCCACCAATTGCCCTGCAGATGGCTACCAGAGGTGGCAGAAGTGGGCGGGGCTGCCACTTGGCTCCTAGGTGCTGAGGGAGCCGGGCAGGGGGCTGGCCCCAACCGATCACCTTGCAGGTGGGATGGTGGAGCAGGTGAAGTGGTGGCACCAAGCTAAGGAGGGTTGCCAGGCGGAACTGCGGGGCTGTGAGACTGGGGGGGTGAGCTGGGTCCCAATCCCCATAGGCCACCCAGAGGGACCCCACCTGTGAATGAATTCATGTACTGGGCCTCTAGTAGTATAATCTATAATAATAATAAAAGCATAATATGCTAATTAGACCAGACAGCCGAACAACCTTCTGGACGTCCTTCAGGATGAAGTCATGGTGGCGGGGGCCGAGGCAGAGCCAGTTAGGGGCAATCAGGCAGGCAGGCAGAAGCGGTTAGGGGCGAGCAGGCAGGCAGGCAGGCAGAAGTTGTTAGGGGTGATCAAGCAGGTAGGCAGAGTGGTTAGGAGCCAGCGGACCTTGATTGTGAGAGGGTTCAGGCTGGGCTGAGGGATCCCCCAGCCCCCATGCATGAATTTGTGCACCAGGCCTCTAGTAAATAAATATTAAGAGATAAAA